TGGCAGATATTTACATAGACACGTGGTTGGAAATTCCATTGTTTGTCTTAAAGGATATATATTTTTTTTTATTGTTGATATTTTGAACTGGATTTGTCGGGAAAATATGAATGATAGAGATTTTGTTCATGGTATTAAAAAAAAACCTGACACTACTTCCACCACTATACTATACTACTACCACTATACTACTACTACCACCACTATACTACTACTACTTCTACCACCACCACCACCACCACTTCTACCACCACCACCACCACTTCTACCACCACCACTACCACTTCTACCACCACCACTACCACCACCACCACTACCACCACCACCACTACCACCACCATTGCTGCTGCTGCATAATATCCTTACGCACAGATTTTAGTCAGTAGTAAACCACTTCACCATAAGTTCATAATTTTTCGTCAAATTTTGTGTATCAGTTTGACGATTACAGAAAAAAGGAAAAACAGAAATTATTGGTAATATGAATGAAAGAAGACGAGAGAAAGTAGTAATATTAAGGTCGAGAAAAGCTTTAAGATACTGAGTCTTACCTGGCTACGAGTTTTCTTCAATAACGAGGATGATCCATAGTATCTATCTCTCTCTGCGCGAGTGTGTGTATATGTGTGTAAGTGAGGATGCGTTAAGTGTAGTACGTGTGAGTGTTAAGTGTTCAGCGTATGTATGTATTGTTATGCCATGACTTATCAACTTGAATTACGTTAAAGATTAATATACTATTGAGGGCACATATGGCACAAAAAAAAAATTGGCAACTCAGCACAACTTTTTCCTGGGTTCAATCAGCCCTCTTTATCCCAACAGTTCAGGAGTGAGGGTTTGGAATTATACACATTATAAAAGATTTGAATAAAATTTAATAACAACAAAATTTACCATAATAAGTGTGTAGGTTCCATCAAGAAAAAGATAAATTAAATCAAGAGAATACAGAATTAACATAATCCTGAGTAAACCACTAATATATACACAGTAAATGAACAATAAACTACTTTGTAATATCTCCATTGATTGCACTTTACACCCATAAATAATACTAGAGGAGCACTGAATAGTTAATACTCAACTAAACCTGACAAACTCAAACGTCCTCCCACCTCCAAGGCCAGCCAATGACTGACATCGCTCCACACTCCAGGGGACTACAACCCTAATACTAATATTAATCAACTCCCACATTAAGTTACAAAAATACCTACATACACACAGACAATATTTTAATGTATCAAGTACCAGCCCTGCTCACACACAATTACAAATAATATATTATTTACACTACTTAAGGGTAACATGCCTAAAAAATATTTCACTATGCACAGCGCAACGCTTTGCACCACGTTACATTACGCCATGCATAACAGTACGTATGTATATATGCATATATGTATGTCTGTAACGTTATCCCTACATAAGTGCCGCCGTTCGAACGCTCACGTTCTTATCTCGGTGAAGATCTAACAGGTTATTGGTGTCAGGTTGTGTTGCTCTCTTCATCATCATCATCTTTTATCATCCAACCTTTTCTCTGATTTCCAATTTTTTCGTTTTTTTTTATGGTTGGCGAAGATGTGAGATGTGACGGGTGTTAGGTTGCTTTGTGGTCACCTTTGTTCTTATTGGTTTTGTTTTCTTGTTCTTTTTGACTGTTTTGTTCTACTTCTTGTTTTTGTTCTTTTTGTTCTACTTTTTGTTATAGTTATTTTTCTCCTAGTTCCTCTTCTTTTTTAATTCTTGTTCTTTTTGTCATTGTTCATGTTCTTGTTCTCCTTTGTTATTAGTCGTGTTTGCTGTTGATATTGTTATTTTTGTTCTTGATCTTGTTCTTCTTAGGTTTTATCGTCAGTTTTGGCTTCAACTTTATCTCCTTATTTTTTTCATCTTCTCTGATATCACATTTTTCCGGCGGCCGAGAGGTGACAGGTTACTGGTGCTAAATTACTTTGGTCTTTCTTTCTTTCTTTCTTTCTTTCTTTCTTTGTAGTTAAGACTTACTGATGTTGGGCTTCCTTGTTGTCTCCTTTACTCTCTCTCTCTCTCTCTCTCGTAATCACGTATCCCCTAGCCAGGCGTCGACCCTGGAATAAAAACAATTTAATTTTCCCAGTGTTATTTGCCTTGGATTCCAGTTCTATGTGCGTGCGTGCGTGCGTGCGTGCGTGCGTGCATTAGACATCAGTGGAGTCCTATGAGAGAGCAGTACCAACTACAGTATTAGCAAGAGGGAAAGACTAGTTGAGGTTGAATCATTATTACTCAACAGGGGCTGGACGAGCATCCTCTGATCTCCTGCACTCCACACTGTCCTCCTACCCCCCCTCTCTCCCCTCCTCTTCCCCTCCTCCTCCTCCTCTCTCCCCCCTCTTCCCCCCATCCTCCCTCTCCCCTCCTCTTCCCCTCCTCCTCCTCCTCATCTACAACGTTACCCTGTTATTTAATTTTTCCGCCAGTGTAGTTGACCATTGACAACACCCCACGACGATCATAAAGGCTCCCTCTGCCAGCTCAATGCATCGACTAATTGACAAGTTTTAGAGTGCAATGTTATACTGGGAAGGGGGAAGGAGGGTGGAAATGTTTGCTGTATTGTTTGTAGATGGTGATGGTGTGGGGCCCTCACCCTCACCCCAAATTAAAAGTAAATACACCTGCGTTAGAAAATTATCAAATATTCGGTGGTTTATATGTGGGTGGCTGGAGTGATCCCTTATAGATGATGGGAAAGGAATTGGCGTGTGTTAATTGTTGGGTGCTAAAGTTGTGGTAAAGTTGGATTTCTTTAGTTTCCCCTAACCTAACCTAACCTAACCTAACCTAACCTATGTATATAGATTTGTCAAAACTTCATATCAGGATAAGAATAAAAATAATATAGCAATAAGTATAATATGTAGAAAAAATGATGATACATAAAAGATGATAACAATTTAATTTGCTAATTTAATCGTTCAGTAAATAAAAATATCAACGAAAGGACCAAACACACTCACTGACACATCCGCCATGACGTCAGTAATTTGGTCGCCCCCAACCCATAACCTTCCCCACCACCCCCCCACCCGCCCCCTACAGTCACCCACCCTATAACTCTCCAGTCCACAACCTTAATAACCCTGTCCACCCTCCCTCTCCATCACCGCCCATATCGCCACCCCACCCCACCCAGAACCCTCAGCCAAACAGAACCTTTAAAAATGCAATTACGATAGAAATGACAGAAACAATTACAGTAGAGAGGTTTCAGACAAGCTGTATCCCGATTCATTGTCCACCTTGCTGTATTTTACCATCTTTACGACTTTATTTTGTATCGTGATTCTATTTACGCCACCGTTCACAGGATTGGGTGTACGGTAAACTAGCCGTTGTCAGTTGTAGAATTCTTGAGATGTTTCTTAGTGACCCCCGCATCCACGACCCATCACCCCATAGTTTTATCTTTCTTCCCGCTTCACCACCATCACCACCCGTAACACTACCTTACCCCATTCCTTAACCTCACCTCAGCTCCCCCCCAACAACTCCAGCTTCCCCTTCCTTCTTTCCCTAGCTTCTCCTTCCATTTTTCCCTCCTTCTCCTTCCCTCCTTCTCTCCCCAACTCATTTCATTACCTCAGTTCTTCCCACTATTAACCTTTCTTGTTCTCACTCCCCATTCCTCTACCCACCCAACCACCCCCCACCTCCCCCTTCAGCGTGACGGGTGAGCCGGAACTAAGGGTGACCTGCTGTGACCTCTGACCCCCGTCCCAGGTGACCACGTGCTGGGCCGCCCTCGGGGTAATGTTGGTGCGTGACTTCTGCGCTGTGAAAGGCGAGTCCAGTGTGGCTATTGCTGTGATTGCTGCAGTTCATGATGCTGTGGTTGTGGTGGATGATGCTGTTAATGATATTGTGGTTGTTGTGATTATCGTTGTGGTCGTGATTGTTGTGGTTGTAGTTTTTTGCTGTTAATGTGGTTATTGTTGTTTAGGTTGTGGTGGAAGCTGTAGGAGTTGAGGTTATGCTGTTAGCCCTAATGTTGTTGTTGTAGTTATGGTGTATGTTGTGGTTATTGTCATCCTGGTTGTGGTGGATGTTGTCGTGGTAGGTGTTGTTGGTAAAGTCGGTCTCTTGCAAAGGTTAATGGACAATGTCTTACACCTGACCAGTAGATCAACTTAATTGTAAGGCGGAGGAACCATGCAGAATATGACCAGGGGTATCTCTCTCTCTCTCTCTCTCTCTCTCTCTCTCTCTCTCTCTTGTATAAAAGAAAGAACACGTGAAATTAACTAGTTATGGTGTCTGTCTGTCTGCCTCTCTCTTTCTTTCCGTATCGTAAATTAGAACACAAGTTTAGTCGTTCATTTCCTTCCCTCAATGTATCATATTTCAGAACTCTTTATGGTAGTTGGTAAGTTTCCTGAAAATCACAGAGGAGGCAACATGGAGAGTCCTTGGTCGAGTGTGAGGGACGGTGACGGAGGGGAGAGAGAGGGGTGGAGGGGGTATGGTTGCATCTCCATATCAAAGGGTAGACGGAATAAAAATAAATATCGGACGGTCATAGATTTATTTATTTATTTTTAATTTTTTTTAAGGAATCCTGCAGAGGTGGAGGTTATGCATGAGTGACGGTGGTGCAGTGTGTAGTGGAGTAAGGCACTGGGAAAATAATGGAGAGAGCCCCGTATTTGCATGTCACAAAGGCACCGTATTTAAAAGTTTTGAATGAATTTTACCGCCTAATTCCTGTGAAGTGTTGAGAAGAACAGTATTTCCTCTTTTGGGTACAACGAGGGTGGGTGGGGAGGGTTGGGGGAGTTAAGCGGCCTATACTTTTTTATTTCCCATCGTGGCGTCTTTTTTTTTTGGTTCTCCTACACCTCGCGCAGAAGGGGTCGTCATTGTACTGGTCGTTGTGGTCGTCGTCTTTGTACTGGTCGTTGTAGTCGTCGTCATTGTACTGGTCGTCGTAGTCGTCGTCATTGTACTGGTCGTTAGTCGTCGTCATTGTACTGGTCGTTGTAGTCGTCGTCATTGTACTGGTCGTTGTAGTCGTCGTCATTGTACTGGTCGTTGTAGTCGTCGTCACTGTACTGGTCGTTGTAGTCGTCGTCATTGTACTGGTCGTCGTAGTCGTCGTCATTGTACTGGTCGTTGTAGTCGTTGTCATTGTACTGGTCGTTGTAGTCGTCGTCATTGTACTGGTCGTTGTAGTCGTCGTCATTGTACTGGTCGTTGTAGTCGTCGTCATTGTACTGGTCGTTGTAGTCGTCGTCATTGTACTGGTCGTTGTAGTCGTCGTCATTGTACTGGTCATCGTAGTCGTAATATTGTAAGTTTTATAATCAATCTTATGTCAGTAACTCGTGCCAGTTCACTTTACATTTAGATTGTCACATCATGGCGGACTCCAGGTCGGGTCACCTGGTGCTGTACGAAATTCACTTATTATCGTTCACAGGTACGATAATACTGTTCGTCTCTGTGTGTGTGTGTGTGTGTGTGTGTGTGTGTGTGTGTGTGCTCTAGACTCGGGGACCCATCAATGCCAGGGAGTTCAAATTCAACTGAATAATTCCCTCAGGGGTGTCAAAATCACTCACTGAATTTTAAGGTTTTTGACAATTACTCCCCTGTAAATCCCCCTCAACCCCCCCTCTTCACCCCTCATCAACCCCCTTTCAACCCCCCTTCAAACTTCCTCGTGGACTCTTACCTTCTCTCTGGTGGACTCTTACCTTCTCTCTGGATGCTCTCACTCCCTCTCGCTAACCATGACAGCAGAGACAACAACAACTTCCCGTGACGTTAGAAGATGGATACAAAAAAAGGAAAAAAAGTTAAATAAAAAGTAGATAAGAGGATTTGATGAGCCTTGTGGTTAGTAAGGTATCTGTTGACGTGAACATTGTCTTGTGTTTAATGGCGTTTTTCTGGTTAGTACAAAGATAGTGTAGATATTTTAATGTGTGTGCGTGTGTGCGTCTAAAAGAGGGGACGTGTAATACAAGTCTGGAGAATTATCGAAAGCACACCCTATCATGCCAATGGGATAATCCTTAGGGGAGACGGAGAAAGAAGATGGGAAGAGAAAGGCAGAAGGGGAGGGAGAAGAAAAATTAGTAAGAGGAAGGGAGAAAGGGATAAGAGAGAGAGACAGGAGAGAACACAAGAGCTACACGACAACCCTCTCTCACTACCTACGGTATTTCTGCTGCGTGGAACAAGAGTCGTCAGGGAATGTGAGGAATCTTTGTATGTAAATTAGAACCTCGGACAAGTCAACTCTGTGTCCACTAATTAAAGTGACAACGTAAATATCTGGTGATCGAGGGTGGTGGTGTGAGTAGTGGTGGTAGGGAAGGTGTTGGTAGTGATGTGTGGTGGTAGGGAAGGTGTTGGTAGTGGTGGTAGTGAAGGTGGTGGTAGTGGTGATCTCAGGAAGGATAAATATCGGTGAGTGGCATTGTGGGTACATCGCTATCAACCAGCCGTCAGTTTATTTAGATATTTCTGTACGATACCGTCACCACCTGGCCATCAACCATACCTCTAATTAACAATGATTTTTCTTTTACTCAGGTATTTGAATAAAATATCTCGCTATGATTAATATAATTCACTGGATATTCAATGCCTGAGACATAACCTCACGGTGTCAACTTATCCAGACATCTTTCTAATGAGTGGACAAGAATACGAACAGATAGAGTCAGACAAAAGGACAGAATATAGAAGATAGACAGATAGACAGGACCCTTGAGAGAAACCAGAGATACCATAAAAAGCAAATATATTTTCTGAACGATCGGTATGTTGTCTTCCACACAGACTAACAGCCTTAAGACACAGGGAGGGTCCACTCATAGTGTCTTAACTGCGTCTCTCATTTACAGTAGATTCCAATTCATTTATCCTCGAGTTATTCTTGTTGATGGTGAGTGATGAGTGAGCTGGGCATGAACTGGTGTTAGAAAGGCTCTTACTGTAGAGTTGAGTAGTTGGTGAGTAAAGGATGTGAGGTATCTTGATATAGATGGGTAAGTTAAGAGAGGATGATGTATTTGTTCATCAATGAGTAAGTGGTGAGTACAGAAGGTGTAAAAGGCACGAGGAAGAATTAGGGTGAGTAACTGTTGATTAAGGATAAGGAAAGCGAGTTACTTTGATGTTAGTGATTAATTCTAGCGACGATGAGGTGTTTTATCATCAGTAGGTGAGTGAGGATGGGGTAAAACGCCTCGAGGAAGACTTCAGAGGTGAGTAATGAACTGTCGGCCGCACGTGGTGTCACCTCGCGGCGCCTCAATACAACTCTTACACCTAAAAGCCAATTTAATTGTTGATGAATTGATGGTCGAGCAGCTGAACATGTGGCCGCCAGACCTCTTACTCCATGGAGGGTGAGGGATGGAGGGCGTGGAGTGAAGGAGAGAGGGAGTGGTGAGTGGGGGAGATGGGGATCAGTGGGGTGTGAAGGGGAGGGAAGAGGTGGAAGAAAGGGGAAATCGGGGAGAGGGGAGGATAAAGAGTATGGGGATGAAGGGAGCTATCGGAAGGGGGAGATAGGAGGCATTAGAAGTATAGCGATGTACTGGAAGCGTCAGTTTATCGGTTAGTGATACGCGTGTGTGTGTATATATATATACATGGTTATGGCCGTGTATATATTGCACATATACATGGATGCTTGCATGTACGTATGTATGTAAGTACGTTTTCCCTTCCTTTCCCAGCTGCCCGTCCCTCTCCTTCCCTCACCAAGAAAACAAAAAAAAAAGGCGAAATCTTGCTGCACCATCCCGTCAATTTGGACTTCGGCACAATAAAATTCTGTTATTTCCTTCTTTTCCGGGGTGTAGGGCGCCTCCCCAGCCACGGATATTACGTATTTAATGGTTGATGGCGTCACGCGCGCTGTATCCAAGAGTCCTCCCTCCTCCTCCTCCTCCTCCTCCTCCGCTGTGTCATCCTCAGTCGCTTCTGTTTTATCGTCTGCCAGAACATCATTTCCTCCCCTCCCCCCTGTCTCAGTTGTCATTTTCTGTGTTATTGATTCTCGTTTACTCTTCACTGGGTAACGCTAGAAGGGCTTTCTATGTCGTCTCTGTGTATTGTATCTGTCTCTATCTGTCGGGGCATAATTGAAGAATAGGGTAAGTTATGGTGTTGATACTAGGTGTGTCTGTTCGTCATTATATTCCCGAAATATGTTATAATTCTAAGGTCAAAATATCACAGATCAAGGTCATTAACGGGCCTAGAAAATATAGTATGTAGTCCCGTGTTGGCAGCATAAAGGGAATGGAGAGTCAATGCTCAATGCTCATGCTTTGGTTTACTGTATATAATCACCATGACTAGAACTGCTCTGTCAAGGCTTTATGAAATATACACCCGCCACCTGTATGCCACGAGTGTGATATTTTATACATATCCCAGAACATCCCCCACCCCCATCGAGTTTCTTTTGTCACTCATTTAATATTATTCCTGGACGCAAAATTCGCTCGGTTGTCAATTTCTAGTTTTCTTTTCTTTCCCCATCTGTTTAATAATTTTCTGTTTGCCTCGTTGTTTTTGTTTTATTTCTTGTTTGTTTATTGTACCTGATTAGAATTCTGTTTTTATTTCATTATTTTTTAAACTTCGTAGTGTATTTTATTCATAAGGACATGTTCAATAATAATAATAATAATAATAATAATAATAATAATAATAATCCAGGTTAAATCTTTCATCTCCTCTTTATCTACGTTTATCACACTTTACTGGGTGTATCTCTCTCCTGTTGCATATTCTTGTTTCATCTTCCTTTCATTCCCTTCCCCAGTCCATCCTCCTGCTCTTCACTCTGCTTTCATCTTCCACTTTTTCACTTCACCCCTTCTATTTTTCTCTGTCTCCCGTTTGTCTCTCTTTATCTCCCCCTGTCTCTATCTTCATTTCTCAACTTTCCTGCTTTCTCTTTCTACCTCCCAGATAACTTCCTCTTCCTCTTTCCTCTCCTCCTCCCTTCCCCCCTCCTCCTCCTCCTTCTCTTCCCCCTTCTCTTCCCCACCCTCCTCTTCCCCACCTCCTCTTCCCCACCCCCCTCCTCTTCCCCCACCTCTCCTCCTCCTCCCCACCTCTCCTCCTCCTCCTCCCCACCCCTCCTCCTCTTCCCCACCCCTCCTCCTCCTCCCCACCCCTCCTCCTCCCCACCCCCTCCCCACCCCTCCTCCCTCCTCCTACATACACTGACGCATTGTATACGCATATCTACGGCCAGACATTCTCATGCATATGTATCTATTTATCTGTCTGTACATGCCGACCAATACCCACACACACACACACACACACACACACACACACACACACACACACAGTCAGCCAATGAGTCGGCAGTCAGACACGCGAACAGTCATCTCTTGTTCACAGTCAGTCCGTCACCTGTCAGAACCGACAGGAGGCAGCGACCACCCCTCACCCCCTCCCGCCCCCCTCTTAGGGTTCAGCCTTTATGCATATCATTATAACAAACACCCAAGTCAGTGGCTTCATTGATATAGGATCCTAGCTTCTTATAGTAGGATACCAGTTAGTTATAGGTACAGTAGAATGATACTTGTTAAAGGTTAACCCCTTAATTCAGTAAAGTTTCCATCGAGTCCCTTCTTCACTTTATAATAACTCCCGTATGTGATAACATCAACCTTGATATTTTCTCTGTCTATTTTAGTAACATTTTAAGAAACATAAAAAACCCGTGATATTGTTAAAAATTTAAGATAGGAAAAAAAAGTTAAACCAACTACCTACTTCTGCTAGTGTGGTCTGAGCTTGGTTTTCAACACACATTTTCTCCAATCGCCGCCAATGATGAAGTAATGTCTCGTACTTGTCTCCTGTGAACGATACTTTGTCTTCATAACAACACCAACAGATTACCTTGGTCCCACAAGTATGACGTCACACATGGTAGGATAAGTTGATGTTAGTGTAACAAGATGAGATAGTTCTTTCTGACATGCAACCAAAACTTGGGAAGATTTTTTGGAACAATTGGCTTTTGTAAGGAGCCAACACTTGATAAGTCTATGAGTTGTTCTTATTCAAAATTTGTCAACATACGGAGTGTGTCAGCAGCATATGGAGATAATTTCTATTGAAGATTTAACACATTTACATCCTTAAAATAAATTATAACTACTTCAGTAAAGTGTTCCATTGTTCAGTAAATAGTTTATGGTTGGCTTCCATTCCATTGCTAAAAATAAGTTTCTGTTGTAGGGAAAATGTCAAAAGCTTTATCTTTTAAATGTCTTTTTCATGAATGTAGTTTTCGTGTTAACACATTCACTTTGTCGCCCTGGGTCACAATATTGGTGTGAGGACCTTTTGTGTTGTAACCCTCAAAGCCACCGGTACGACCTCCAACCACCAGTGCGACCCCCAACCATCGGAACGACCTCCAACCATCGGGACGACCCCCAACCATCGGGACGACCCCCAACCATCGGGACGACCCCCAACCATCGGGACGACCCCCAACCATCGGGACGACCCCTAACCACTGGTACGACCCCGAATCACCGGCATGCAGTCTGAAAAACACTGGGTTAAACAATATGTTATTAGAGAATTAATTGTTTTTTTCTAGTCATCGCTTTGTTTGTTAAATACACTTTCTGTTGTGTTATTGTGCTCAGACGTGTGTAATTGGAATTTTACACACACACACACACACACACACACACACACACACACGGGAGATCTCACTTTAATCCCCTGAAGGATCATGCGTGTGTGTGCGTGTGTGTGAGATAGAAAAATATCAAAGGATTTATTTGAGACATAACTGTGAGCAGTTGTGATGAAAGGAGAGGCGGAACGGCGGCGGCTTTGACGACAGGCGGAGATGTGCGAGGGAGGAGAGTGGGGGAGGGGGTAGACTGGAGTGGAGAGAGTGGGCAAGTAAGGGGAAGGGAGAGGGGAAGAAACGGGGAGGGTAAATGGGGAGAGAGAAAGAATGTAGAGGAGGTGGAAGAAGAGAGAGTGGGAGGAGGGTGCTACTATAGTATGCGGTCTACCGAGCCGGAGTTGTGTCTACCTGGACATTTACACTGTAGCACTAACCTAGCCTAGGTTAGGTTAGGTTAATGGATGCTACAGTGTAAATATCCCGGTAGACACAACTCTAGCCGTGCAATATTCGTGATGATACTAAATGTTTCATAATACTTCCCTGAGATAAATGTACAGTATATATCAGGTGCCTTCTAGAGAGCTCAGGCGCTCATCTGGCTCAGCCATGTTAATCGACTCTGTATCTGTGTTTTTCTGGCTAAATAAACTGTTTCAAAATCAATATCTTACTAAAGTAGTACCGAGAGGAGAGTAGGCAGGAGATGTGAGAACAAACAGGTGGAGGGAGTGAGGGATGGTCAGAATAGAATAGGAGAGAGAGAGAGAGAGAGAGAGAGAGTCCATGATGAGTATTGGTAAGGTGAGGCTGAGAAACTCCTGAATCACATACAATACCTGAAGACCCCCTTCCCTCCCTCTCCTCCCACACACCTTATTTTACCTGATATTTAAACATCTTAATGCTACTTGGGGGAGGGGTGGTTAGGTTAGGTTAGTTTAGTTTAGTTTAGTTTAGTTTAGTTTAGTTTAGTTTAGTTTAGTTTAGTTTAGTTTAGTTTAGTTTAGTTTAGTTTAGTTTAGTTTAGTTTAGTTTAGTTTAGTTTAGTTTAGTTTAGTTTAGTTTAGTTTAGTTTAGTTTAGTTTAGTTTAGGTTAGGTTAGGTTAGGTTAGGTTAGGTTAGGTTAGGTTAGGTTAGGTTAGGTTAGGTTAGGTTAGGTTAGGTTAGGTTAGGTTAGGTTAGGTTAGGTGTATAACCTGGAGGCGAATATTCTGGGGGTCCGATGTTGTCTGAGAAGAAACCGTGGTGTATCGTACACACACACCACGAGTAATAAAGTAAATAACATACATCCAGTACATCATTGTAACACTAGGAGGGGCTGGAGAATGTGAGGAGTGGAGGAGCATGACTGAGGTGTTTGTGAAGTAAACACCTGTGACAGTAGTAGTGGTACAGACCCATACTGCAGCAGGGGGCTCAACACACACCACTACCTCCCACACTTCATAATAAAACAATGAATTAAATGTATGAAAAATAAGAAGAAAACAGGAGACTAATGAATAATGTATGTGGTTGAGAAGATGTCTTTAAAGGAATCTAACGTAGATAATAATAATAATAATAATAATAATAATAATAATAATAATAATAATAACAACTTCATATTCGTTAAAAGATACCAAATTTCTTCATTGATCTTAGGTACTTTAAAAACTCCACTTTGGTACAGTTATACACATAGAGAGAGGCAGAGAGATAGAGAAACTGAGAGAGAGAGAGAGAGAGAGAGAGAGAGAGAGAGAGAGAGAGAGAGAGAGAGAGAGAGAGAGAGCAACACCATCCATCAGCCGAAGGTCTCCTCTATTACCATAATCCGTCAGAAGGTGATGAACTTTGACCCCGGGGTGTTTGTGCTACAGCTGGCTGGGTCAGGTTCACTGCTTAATCCCTCCTGCTGCAGGGAGGAGCCGTCAAGGGGAGGGAGAGAGCTAATACGGTACTGGCTTGTTTGAAGAGAGAAGGGGAAAGAGAGAGAGGAAGAGAGAAAGAGAGATGAAGAATAGAAAAATTAAGAAAAAAAGAGCAGATGGAGGGACAAGATCAGGTTTCGAGGTGTCCAGTGAAGAGCTCAGGAGAGGTGGTTTGGGTAAATCCTGAATCCAGTATTAGTGATGATGATGGTGAAATAGATAGATAGATAGATATACATATATACACATATATAAGTATGATGATGAAGGTAATGATACATATATACACTACATACCTATGTACTATAGGTGGGCTGTAACCAGTAGGGTCCTAAATGAGTGTAGCATCTCACCTGGTCTTGGCTCTCCTCACTAACTCACAACCTCTCCTCCATGTTGTTATTGTCTCTCACCTCAGGCGCCATACTTCAGGTGATCGAAGGAAATTTACATAAAACTTACCTCTCAGGTGTATAATTACTGCATCTCGTTCACTAATTGGTACTGGACTTTGTTTCACTAATGATCTCAAGTAATGTGTGGTTTGGTCATTAGAACTGTGTCATTGGACGTAATTTTTCCAGCATTAGATTCTTTTTCTCACGTTTCGTTGTTATGTCTTCGTGGTTACAGGATGTTGAGATGACCACTGGCGTAACTGTTTTACGTGGCAGAAATTTTGTATCAAGTCTTGGGGTAAGAGGTGGTGTTAGAAGATAGATAGATAGATAGATAGATAAATAGGTAGACAGATAGATAGATAGACAGATAGATAAATAGATAGATAGATAGATATGAAGAAAATTAGGGCGTTTCTATGTTTAAATTAGAATTCTCATGGCTTTCAAGTCTTGTCAAAATGCCTAGCGAAGAAAGACTGAATAAATGTCGATTATCTTATCATAATTCTATATTGACTCGTAATTTTTTAGGTTCTTATGATTCATTCATTTTTTATTATATATTTTTATTTAATTTTATTTATTTAATATTTTAGCATACAGTGGTTAACATCCCTCCCAAATACACCCACACACACATCCACACATGCATCCATCCACACACACTCACACTCACCCACACACACTCACCCACACACACTAACCCACACACACTCACTCACTCCCCCCTTCACCCCACATACTCACTCCCACACATACTCACTCCACCCACACCTCCCCCACCCACCCACACTCACACTCACCCACACACACTCACCCACACACACTCGCCCACACACACTCACCCACACACACACACACACACACACACACACACACACACACACACACACCCACCCACTCACCCACACACACACGATAATCACGGACATGTACAACAATATTTTGGCAGATATGAGGAGTATTATTTAAGATAATCGTCCCTCGCTCTATGACCAACAGCGCCACGCACATTAAAACTAATGGACTTGTCAGGAAGATAGTGTGGTCATTAGAGACGCTGCACGACCCCCGCTGCTCTCATAATAAATACGGCTATGATGTGCTTATTACTGAGGTAGTTAGACCCACTCCTTGAGGGAACGCTGTTGAGAATTATACTTTGGTCTCGTGTAGGTATTTCTGACCCTTGAGCTGTATTAGTAATTTAACCTGTACTTGTACTAGTGTTTAACATGTCTCTGTACTATTGTTTAACCTGCACCTGTACAAGTGTTTAACCTGTACCTGTGCTAGTGTCTTTACCTGCCCTAGAAGATGACCCTGTCTTGTGGCTCCTGTTACTTAATGAGTCAGAGTGTCGAACATTGTTGATACTTCTCTTCGTATTGTCTTGCCGATGCTGAGTTGTGCCGCTGGTGATTTTTCCCGCTGTCACTGACCTTCTACCCCTCCTATTGCTGCCCTGGCCCCTCACTCCTCTCCCTCACTGCTGACGCTACTATCCTCCCTCCTCCCTTCTCTCATCTTCGTTCTCCCCATTTCCTCTCCCCCTTTTCCACCGTATCCCAAAACTCCGACAAAGGGGATGAGCGTTAGAGGGAGGGAAGTGTGTGTGTGTGTGTGTGAGAGAGAGTGCCCCGCCTGTGCGCTCGCCGGCGTGTCCAATCTGATGAAGCGAACGACGGTGCGTCAGGCCGGGCGTCAAGGAGACGTCTGTTGTGGTGGCGACGGAATTACAAAGTAGAGGACCGCCCACCTGCAACCAGAGCCCAGGTTCCTCCTCCTCCTCCTCTCCTTGATGGAATATTTTAACACACGACAGGAGACGAATGGCTGGGCAGAGACAGCTGCTTCATAGTGGAATAGTGATGTACTGTTATACCACAAAGTGTTCATTGTTGAGGTACACTCGTCAACAAAAGTCCTGTCGCCTCACCTGCCTCTTCATGAACCCAGATATTCAGAGACCTGTGAAACCGAAACAGGTCTCTGAATCTCTGGGTTCATGAAGAGGCAGGTGAGGCGACATGATTTTTTGTTGGCGGGTGTACACTAATTCAAGAACATTATTTAACACATAACAGATAAGTACAGATGTAGGGGTCATTAGCTACGCAATATATTTTGACAGCTATACAAAAATTTATTTCATAGTATCACTGTCTTCTTTCACCTAATTTGAGGAAATAATTCAGGTTTTGAATATTTTCTTGCGGAGATCAGGGGTGTTGGGAAGTAGTCCTTTTCTTATAAGAATTTTCAGGTCGTAAATATGGTGTGTGTGTGTGTGTGTGTGTGTGTGTGTGTGTGTGTGTGTGTGTGTGTGTGTGTGTGTGTGTGTGTGTGTGTGTGTGTGTGTGTGTGTGTGTGTGTGTGTGTGTGTGTGTGTGTGTGTGTGTGTGTGTGTGTGTGTGTGTGTGTGTGTGTGTGTGTGTGTGTGTGTGTGTGTGTGTGTGTGTGTGTGTGTGTGTGT